CTCCCTTCCCGTCGCGTTCCCTTCCCGTCGCCCTCCCTTCCCCTTGGCCTCCCTTCCCTTCGACCTCCCTTCCCGTCGCCTTCCCTTCCCGTCGCCTTCCCTTCCCGTCGCCACGGTCTTCCCCTCGCCCGCGCTTCTTCCCGTCGCCGTCCGTTCTTCACGTCGCCCTCCCTTCCGCTCGTCCCCTCGCTCTCCCTGTCTCCCTCTCTCCCCGTCTCCCTCGCAATTTCTGTCTCCCTCGCTCCCCGTCGCCCTCGCTTCCCCGTCAATTCTCTGCCCGTCGCCCTCGCTTTCCCCGTCGCCCTGCCATCCACTGCTCGTCGCCCCCGCCTTCCCTCCCGCCTCCCTTCCCATCTCGCACACGTGTCACCCTGCGTATTCTCCCCCTACTCCCTCTTTTCCCACCCTCCAATAATCGCCTCAGTTCCCCCACTTCCCTGCTTTTCCCCATCCCCTTCCCTGTTTCCGCCCATCCCGTGCCCTGCTTCCCCCCATCCTCTTCCCTGCTTCACTCCATCCCTTTCCCTGCTTCCCCCATCCTCTTCCCTGCTTCCCCCCACCCCCCTCCCTGCTTCTCCCCATCCCGTTCCCTGCTTTCCCCCATCCCCTTCCCTGCTTTCCCCCATCCCCTGCCCTGCTTCCCCCCATCCTCTTCATTCTTTCCCCTTATCCCAAGCCCTGCTTCCCCCCATCCGCATTTCTGCTTCCCCCCCTCCCGGTCCCTACTTCCCCATGTCCCCTTCCCTGCTTCCCCCCATCCCCCTCCCGGCTTCCCCCCATCCCCTGCCCTGCTTCCCCCCATCCCCTGCCCTGCTGCTTCCCCCCATCCCCTTCCCTGCTTCCCCCTGTCCCCTTCCCTTCTTCCCCCCATCCTCTTCCCTGCTTCCTCCCATCACCTGCCTTGCTTCCCCCCATCCCCCTCTCTGCTTCCCCCCATCCTCATCCCTGCTTCCCCCCATCCCCCTCCCTGCGTCCCCCCCATCCTCTTCATTGTTTCTCCTTATCCCAAGCCCTGCTTCCCCCCATCAGATTTTCTGCTTCCCCCCCTTTCCTTCCCTGCTTCCCATGTCCCCTTCCCTGCGTCCCTGCAGTGTCGCCTCGCCCGCCACCCCACTTTGCTCATCCCCGACATTTCATGCCCTTATGTCCCCCTCCCGCCACAGTCTATTCAGGCCAATGCACTCCCCCCACCTCCTTCTATCTGCATCCCCTCCCATCAACCTCCCCATCCCCCTCCCCGCCACCAGGCGCGCGCCCACTTAGCATGGCATCGGTCGCTGCGCTTCTGTGGCACCTCTGTGGCGCGCACATCGCCCTGTTACGCTGGCTACTACACCGCACACCACCGTCAGCTTCTATCCATTGATGGCCGGTGCGTGGATGGGTGGGTGCGTGGGTGGGTGAGTGCCTGGGTGGGTGGGTGGGTGGGTGGGTGGGTGGGTGGGTGGGTGGGTGGGTGGGTGTGTGCATGTCTATGTGCATGCATGTCCACGTGCAGGCTCTGCTATGTGCAGGCATATCTATGTGCATGCACATCTATGTGCATGCATGTCTATGCGCATGAATGTCTATCTGCATGCATGTTTATGAGTGTGCATGTCTATGCCCACTCTTGTCCATGTGCATGCTTTTCCATGTGCCTGCTTGTTTGCTCAATCTCGCTGCCTTGCTTGCCCGCACTGCCATGCTTGCTGCATCCCTGCAGGTTCTCCTCGTCCGCCACCCCACTTTGCTCTCCCGTCTGCTGCCACTTCTGCCAGTGCGCTCCTCGCCCTTCCTGCTGCCCATCTATTCCCGCCCCGCTACTTACCCTCACCCCGCTGCGTTCAGGACAGAGTCTATTCCCCCTCTGCTTCCCCCCTTCCCCTCCACAGTCTAGTGCACATGGTGGGGGCATGTCAAGGTGCGGGGATGCTTCGCTACTTAGGAACATGCACTAGCGATCTGCCTCCCTGCACCATTCCCTACCTCTTCCCCCTCCACTACCTCCCCTTCCCCTTAGTGCTTCGTCTCGCATCCCTCCTGCTGCTCCCTCCTCTTTGTCCTCCAGCAATCTCGTGGAAAACACTCCAACCTCCTGGCACCCGTCGCACACTCCTCCGTGTACTACCCACTACTCCTCAGATCTCAGCAGCATCTCATCCGCCATCTACTTGGTGTTAGGTTGGAGGGGATGGTACAAAGAGGAGGGGGAGAGCGCCGAATGTGCGAAGAGCGGAAGGTGAGTGGTACCACATCTCCCATGTACCACCTCCCCCCGGTATCACCTCCCCCAGGTGCCGCCTCTCCTATTAACAACAACACCGTAGTTGGGATCTCCCGCGCTGATCACTTTCATGCGTCTGCGCCACGTGCTGTCGGTACGGCTCACCTCCTCCTCACATGCACCACGTGCTGCCACCCAACACAATAGCCCCTCTCTCCCTCACGCACACTCTCTCTGCCAGTCCAAACACATGTCGTGCCCAGCCATCATAGCATTGGAGACAGTACACACCATCACAGCACCTGCACCCTAAACCCTTCCTTCCCGTTCCCCTCTCCCTTCACCCCTTTCCTCGCTGTCTCCACACGCCCCCCTCAGTCCACGCACATGTCGAAGCCCACGACCATGACAGATCATGCTGCTGATGCCAGCACAGGCAGCCCCATGCCAAGGACGTTCAGCCCATCTCGCACTGGCTGTTCAATGAACCCTGCAAGACCGCCCTGCAACTCGAAACGAAACACAGGCAAGACAGTGCAGCATGTGTCAAGTCCAGTCACAACTGCATGATGTCCTCGTTTCCCCTTTGTTTACAGCCTCACGAGCCACGAGGCCCGAACGTGACAACTCCTCCTTGCTCCCTCTCTCCCCGCCTGCCTTCCTCCCCCTCCTGCATCCTTCGTTCCCCGAAGACCTCCCCCCCTGCCCGCCTGCCTCTTTCTCTCCCCACCTGCCTCTTTCTCTCCCCACCTGCCTCTTTCTCTCCCCACCTGCCTCTTTCTCTCCCCATCTGCCTCTTTCTCTCCCCACCTGCCTCTTTCTCTCCCCACCTGCCTCTTTCTCTCCCCACCTGCCTCTTTCTCTCCCCACCTGCCTCTTTCTCTCCCCACCTGCCCCTTTCTTTCCCCACCTGCCTCTTTCTCTCCCCACCTGCCTCTTTCTCTCCCCACCTGCCCCTTTCTTTCCCCACCTGCCTCTTTCTCTCCGCACCTGCATCCCTTCCCCCCACCGCGCAAGGCAGGCATTTTGCAGGTGAAGGGGCTGGCGCTCATAGACATCATGATTTACCTGCATTGGTATGTGTGTGTGGGTATGTGAGGGTGTCTATGTGTGTGTGAGTACTTGCTACTGTTATCAGTTATGCTGCATAATGGCAGGGTGTGGAAGGGGGGATGGGTGGATGCTTCGCTTCTTTGTGAACCGCACCTTGCTCCACAGCACTGCACCATTCCCTGCTTATTTCCCCTCTGCCCTGCCCCCCCTTTGCCCTCGGTGCTTCATCTCGCATCCCTCCTGCCGCTCCCTCCGTTTTGTCCTTTTCAACATCAATTCAACTCCTCGCAGCCTTCGAACACTACTCCGTGTACTACTCCTTGCACCTCATATCGCAGCAGCATCTCTTCCCATGGCAGGTGCTGAGTTGGAGGGGATGGTAATTCCGTTTGCTTGGGGGGGAAGATCAGTGGAGGTGCGAGAAGCGCCAGGAATGTGGCACAACTATGGCATACGAGTCTGGCGGGTTCTCGCACGCCATCACACTGTTGCCCTCGTTGCCCCATTCCAATGTCCTACCCCCCCTTGAACACCCCCACCCCCCCCTTCTCCCTCCCCCCCACCAGCAGGCGAAGACGGAGGTGGAGGTGTACCTGCTGCTGCTGGACGACCAGCTCGACGCCCTCGAGAGCTTCCCCTAGCTGCTCACCGCCATGCGCACCGCGCTGGGCTGCCGCTGGCGCCCGACGAGTACCTGGCGCCGCGGTGCATCATCGCGTCGCTCCGGAGCTTCTAGGGGCTAAACAGGGGCAGGAGCAACGCGCGCCCCACGGCCTTCGCGGCGGACAGCAGCAGCAACAAGACGCTGTCGTTTGGCAAGGGGCGCGTGATGAGGGTTGGCAGCAGCTCCATGCTCCAACTATTAAAGGATTACACTTCACACCCAGCTCCTAGATTGATTAGCTGAGATGTAACGCGACGTTCCCAGGCAATGTTGTAAACTAGAATGTTTCAGTCTGTCAATTGACAGTTGGACCCAGTCATTTTCATTAAGCAGCTGGCCCAGGTATTTAATCAACCACGAAAAAAAACTGTCTGTTAGCTCCGCTTTGAAGGACCAGCCTGGCAAACTCATCGAGGCTAACCATAGAGGTAAGCTGTTTTCCACGTCTCACTCGTGCCCTCCCAGGAGATGAAGGTGCTGGATCTGTTTTCCACTGTATGCACAAGCTGGCCATAAGTCCATCTTTCCAAAACAAGTGACACAAGTGAACTGCTGGATCTGTTTTCCATTGTATGCACAAGTCCATCTTTCCACATAAGTGACGGCAGCTGCAGCAGCCTCGCTGGCAGCCAGTCCCCCAGCCTGATCTTAGCATGCACTGCCTCCTTTGCCCGCACCTCACCATTCCCTGCTGCTGCTGCTAATGATGATGATGCTAACACTGCTGATGCTGCTACTGGTGCTCATGCTGGTACTGCTACTGTTTGAAGTTGCTGCTGCCAGTGTTGAAGTTCCTTGTGTAGCGTCAGCGGCACCGAGGGGAGAGCAGCGCAAGCAGGGACAGCGGAACGGGGATGAGGATGAGGGGTCCCACACGGGCAAGGTGTGAGTTCAGCGGTGGACGCACACGGGCATAACATCAACATCACGGATGCCGAGAGGCCGAAATAGGAGGGGATGCGAGGGCGAGGCCGCAGTGACGTACCGAGCAGGGCGCCCTGCGGGCTCGTGAGGATGTGGTGGAAAAGGTCAAGGTGTCGGTACTCGGTGCCGTACGCCAGGATAGCTTGCGAGGTGTCATGCACGCGGACGCTGGCAGGCTGGGCGCCACACAGGCCAGTGTGCCACGATGAGCCCCATGGCTTCAATGCCGTCAAGCTCCGGCATCTGGCGAGCGGGCGAGGGGAGAGAGAGGACGGGAGGGGAGGCGAGGGGAGGCAAGTGTGCAGGCATGCAATGCCTATCTAGTGTTGGCTTCTACGTGGTTGAGCATTGGCATCTGCAGGAGGGCAGCTTGAGGGAATGGGCGTTGAGCCATGCATGCATACGAGCGTGCAAACACTCCGTGATACGCATAAGCACGCATGAGCACGGCACAAGCATGCACGCGTTCGTGCCCCCACCTGCAGGTTCGCACGTCCATGAGCACGAGGTCGAAGGGTTGTGCCTGCAGGTGGAGAATGGCCACATGACCGTTGCTGGCCAAGGTGCGCTCGTACCATGTGCAGGGGTTGAAGCCTCCGCCGGTCCCACTCTGAACCCACCTCGCTCTGCTCCGCACCCCCTTACGCCCCCTGCCCCTCTCGCCGCCCCATCTGACACCCCCTTCGCTCCGCCGGCCGTCCCCCCCTTCACTGCACTAGCCGCACCTCGCTTTGGAGGGGTGTGTCGAGCTTGGACAAGGTCGATCAATTGCTCACTAGGGGGGACAGGGGGGCCAGCGGAAGATTATGGGGAGCAAGCGGAGAGGGTTAGCAAAGAGCAAACGGGGGGGGGATGTTGGATAGCACCTGGTATTACGCAGGGGGCCTCATAAAAGTGACTATGAATGAATATCATTTTCGAGACACACAAGGGATATGGGCTTATCATGGTCATACCAGGTGGATAGGAGTGAACACATTCACCATTGAAAATTTGCAACTCCTCGAACCACTTCTGACACATCATCCACTCGATCAGCCGGACCCCATGTCACCTAGACACATACCACCGACCGAAAAAACGAATAGATGCATAAGAATGACATGCGTGCAATCACTTACTCACCGTGAACTTGCAAGACTCGTGAACCAAAACTCGAAAACTAGTGGCTATTATGACAATTTAGCATACGTACTGAGTAAACTGCGCCGTGCCCCACGCCCCTCGTCGCGTGTCGTACGGTGCACGGGCTGAGATATGATTGGTGTTCGCGACTGTCCAACTCCAGAACCATGGGAGAATCCGGGTGATGCATCGGGGTCGGTAGACGAAGTGCCTCGTGGTGAAACAAGCCCCACACTCTCCCGAGGGGCCACAGTGTCACTCGCGTCAGGGGACAATCCAACGGGCTCGGATAAATCAATAAACGGTCGCCGCCACTCTCTCAAAATATCATCCGCCCAAGTCCAATCCATTGGACCAAGTACCCTATCCCTCCGACCACGTCTCACTCGTGTTGTACGCCTCTCTCGAGTGATATATGCCCGTACAACGCGATCCATGGTGTTGTTCCAATGCAGCGCAGACATGGCTATGCGCGCATCGTAACTTCCTTTGAACCGTATACGTTTAGGGGCATACTTCAGGATGAGAGAATGAAACGACTCGTTCATTGAGCTGGTTGCGCCCTCCACAATGCACGCAACTTTATCTGGACTGAAGTGTCTTTGAAACCACTCTCTCACCGCTAGATGGGTCTTTGAATTGGGCTGGTACACCGCACTCTCTTCACCCCAATTTTCTGTCACACATCTTGGTGCACGCATTCCGCTCCTCCAGCATCGCGAATGAAGCCCAGCCCAATGGTCTGGTCCTAGACACAACTCCTCTGACACTTCCTGGGGTGTGCGAGTGTGCCCGTCCCGAGCGCACACCCCGTTCCGAACCATGCAGTGGTAGAAGTGCACACCGAGCCGATCCGCAACAGTAACCGCTTTCACCCTCGCCGTGGTCTCACTCTCGCTGCCAGCCCCTCCGCCATCCCCTTGCCGAGTCCGTCTGCGTGGCGCTCGTCGTCCCCCTCTCCTTGGTCTGTGTTCTGCTGCATCATTATCCATGCCACCCTCGGTCGCAATCCCAGCCGCGCCTCCAGAAGCTGGAACATTCTCTTGTTTGTCTGCACAAAATAATACCAATATCACAAGAGATTTCAAAACGCAAAACTAAGAAAGCAGGGTGGAAGATGAAGAAAGCAGAGGGGAGATGAAGAAAGCAAGGGGAGATAAAGAAAGCAGGGGGGATCTGAAGAAAGCAGGGGGAGATGAAGAGGTATGGGGGGAAACTGAAGAAAGCAGGGGGGAGATGAAGAAAACAGGGGAGATGAAGAAAGCAGGGGGGATATGAAGAAAGCGGGGGGGAGATGAAGAAATATGGGGGGAAACTGAAGAAAGCAGGGGGGAGATGAAGAAAGCGGGGGGAAACTGAAGAAAACAGGGGGGATATGTAGAAAGCAGGGGTGAGATGATGAGGGGAGGGGGGCTTATTTAAGAAAGGTGGGGGAATATGAAGAAAGCAGGGGTGAGATGAAGAAAGCAGGGATGAGATGAAGAAAACAGGGGGGAAACTGAAAGAAGCAAGGGGGAGATGAAGAAAGCAGGGTGGAGTGACGAAGAATGTAGGGGGAGATGAAGAAAGCAGGCCACTTTACCTTGCCCAACAGTGCCGTCATACAGTGAAGCAGTGTTGTGCTCTAAACCTCTCCATGCCTGCACGAGCACCATCGATGCATGCGATGATGGTCGTATCCCATGTTCCGGATGCGCATCCCAGCCCCACATTTCGTCCACGTCCGGCCACTGTACTTCGACGGCTCCAACCCCGCCATTAAGACCGTCACCGTTCGGACCTTCACTCCCGTCACGTGGCCCATGTCCCACTGTCACCCCCGGTTCTGCTTCTTCCACCACCTCTGTGCTTGCTCGCACTGTCGGCTGCCCAACCTCTGTCTGGAGCACTTGCTGCAGTTCCAGGTGCAACCATTTGGCATCTGCAGGGTCCATATCCTTGAACTCCAAACCCCGTGCAGCACACACTGCCTCCACCAACGCCTTCTTTCCACTACCCCGTCCAAACGTCGTTCCCGGGCGTGGGTGCTCCCGCAACCACCCTAGCAGTTTATTGATTGTGATCAAGTAAAGATCCTCGCACGAAGTTGCCGCCCCAACTTCACCTGCCTTCCTTGTTGCATCCTGAACATCCGTCTTGAAACTACGCACCAGGGTACCACATTTATGCCACCAATCCTCTTGATGTTTCAGTCCCCTCTCCCGAACAGCAGTCTTGAAACTGCTACCTCCATCGGTGACGATACCAGCCACACCAAACCCAATCTCTCTTAGCTCGTCCATACCCTGATCAAACCCCACTCGTTCGAGCTTGACAGATGTGTCGTCATCTACGTCCCTGTGTGTGTTTTTATAAAACGCAACTTTACGAGACACCGGATCCATGAAGGAAACCGTGCAATGCTTTGCCTCACGCACCTGTGACCACCTCCCGTCCACGCTTAAAATATGGGCAGGATCAGAACGCAATGCCTTTCTCGCGCGCACCCCCTCCATATTCACCTTCGCCTGGTTGATGATCACACTCCACAGACCATTTTCTCCATCTAAGCATCTGTAAAAGGTTCCATGACCCGGCCTAGGGACACCAAGTGTGCGACACACCTCCCACATGTGCTGATAGCCTGACCCAGCAAGCGCGAATGCACCAATAAGCTTTGCCATCATAGGCGGGCTACGGGGACCACGCTTGCTAGGCGGCAAATCATCCCTGACACGACTACTTGACCAGAACTCCTCCCTTGCTGAACAAACATCGCACCTCCACAAAAGCCCCAAGCATGCCCACGATCGCTTCCACGACTCTAACTGCAGGCGACCTTTGCAATTGGACTTCACACAACACGCCAATGCCCGATCACGAAAAAACGACACCATCGACCTTGGGTCGAGAAAGCAAACCATGTCAGCCGGAAAGTCATCCCGGTTTGGTGGATATTGCCACCCTCGTGGACGCTTCCGACACATTTGTTGTGCCATTGGTCTGTAACACGGGAGAATGGAGGCATGTTCATGGTAGAACCTTGATGAATATTCACGCTAGAGACTCGCACAGGTAATACTTATTCATACCTGTTCGGATCCAACGTTGGACATCCCTGTTCTGACGCATTGCCATCGCCCGCTCCACCGCCCACATCAAGACGCACCCGATCAGCTCCCTCACTGTCCACAACGCTCGTGGTGCACGGAGTCAAATGTGGTGGCCTGTTGTCGCAAGGCATGGAAGAGTCATCCTCCTCTGCGTGGGCACACAATAGCAAAGAATCCACGTACATGTTAATGCCACGGTCCACCTTCACATCATCTGCATTATCATAATGCATGTCAAAACAACCAGCGCACCTTCTGTTGGATGGACGGTTGGCTCTGCTTGGTTACGTGAACCGTCGCTACCGTTTCCAACAACTCTCCGAATACCTCCCTTTTTGGTTTTTTCCCACTTTGGAAAGTCAAATTCCACCCCTTCCAATGTGCTATCATTACGGGCTAGTAAATTCTCCACCGTCATCACACCATCCCCCATCCGTGTCCAAAAGGCACTTGACATAGCGTCAAGGTGCATTTGCACGACCTTGCCAGCGTCTACTCCGCCGGTTCCTGCACGATAAAAAGGACAATCAGTGTTGGACACCTTTATTTCAAATATGTGCATTCTACAACAGCCACGACGATATTGTGCAGATGCCACATATTTACCTGCATCCTGTGCAGCTCGTACCAAACGCTCTGTTACATGGGGTGCTGCCAACATGTAGAGCGCAAGAAGATCATTGAATGAGGCGGCCTTTTCCGTACTCGGCAAAAGAGTAGTTAGCCCCACGCGAAGGAAACAAACAGGGGCTTTGAGTTGCCAATGGACACTATGTTGACGTTGGTCATACAATCGGCAAAGCTCTGATGGCGTTGGGTCCGCCATCCGTCCTGGTTTCATCGCTCATTCAATGCATACAATATTTGGTCATTGAGAGGGGGAAAGTGTATATGACATAGGGATTGAATCACGGCATGGATACAGTAGAAAATTGCATTGTTGGGAGGACATGAGGGAGTTAGAGTTGCTATATTGATACACAATGCCAAGCCATTACCAAGCCATGTTGACCGGGGTGAGAGAGAGAGAGCTATTAAGTCTTGCTTACAAGGTGTTAGGGGGCTGCCAGATCAGAGATGGTTCCGGGGTTGCCACCGGATGCATGACCCCCCATGCTACTCCACCATAAGGTCCCGGACATGACATAGGGGAGTTGGATTGGGAGGAGCACAGGGGAGTTGGATTGGGAGGAATACAGGGGAGCCGGATTGGGAGGAGCACAGGAGAGCTGGATTGGGAGGAGCACAGGAGAGTTGGCATAAGAGGAGCACAGTGGAGCTGGTTTGGGGGGAACACAAGAAAGCTGGATTGGGAGGAAAGCAGGGGGGAGCTGGATTGGGAGGAGGGTGGAGCACGATTGAAGGGAACGAGGAGAGAGCAGGGAGCAAGGGGGAAACTGAAGCGAGCAGGGGAAAATGGAAGAGAGCGGGGGGTAAGCTGCAGTGAGCAGGGGGAAAACTGCAGTGAGCAGGGGGAAAACTGCAGTGAGCAGGGGGAAAACTGCAGTGAGCAGGGGGAAAACTGCAGTGAGCAGGGGGGAAGATGACGAAAGAAGGGGGAAGATGAAGAAAGCATGGGGAAGATGAAGAAAGCAGGGGGGAAACTGAAACAAACAGGGGGGAGATGAGGAAAGCAGAGGGGAGATGAAGAAAGCAGGGGGGGGACGTGGAAAGCAGCAGGGAGATAAAGTCTGCAGGGGGAGTATGAAGAAAGCAGGGGGGAGATGAAGAAAGCAGCAGTGAGAACTGGGGGGAAACTGAAGAAAGCAGGGGGGGGTTGAAGAAAGCAGGGGTGTATATGAAGAAAGCAAGGGGGAGATGAAGAAAGCAGGGGGGAGAGGATGAACAGCAGGGGGGAGTTGAAGAAAGCAGGGGGAATATGAAGAAAGCAGGGGGGGGATGCAGAAAGCAGGGGGGAAACTGAAGAAAGCAGGGAAGAGACGAGGAAAGCAGGGGGAATATGAAGAAAGCAGGGGGAAGATGACGAAAGCAAATGCGAGGTGAAGAGAGCAGGGGGGAAACTGAAGAAAGTAGGGGGAAGATGAAGAAAGCAGAGGGGACATAGACAAAAGCAGGGTGACGATGAAGAAAGCAGGGGGGAAGATGCAAAAAGCAGGGGGAGATGAAGAAAGCAGGGGGGAAATTGAAGAAAGCAGGGGGGAAATGAAGAGAGCAGAGGGGCAACTGAATAAAGCAGTAAGAAGATGATGAAAGCAGGGGGAAGATGAAGAAAGGAGGGGCAAGATGAAGAAAGCAGGGGGGAAACTGATGAAAGCAGTGGGGAGATGATGAAAGCAGGGGGGAGACGAAGAAGGCAGGGGGAAGATTAAGAAAGCATGTGGGAGATGAGGAAAGTAGGGTGAATATGAAGAAAGCTGGGGGTACACTGAAGACAGCAAGGGGAATTGTTCAAGGGGAACCAGCACCTGAGGAGGGGGGAATCTGAAGTGAGCGGGAGGGAACTGAAGAGAGCAGGGGGGAAGGAGGAGAGAGAAGGTGCATTTGAAGAGAGCAGGGGGGTTTTCACGTTTCCCGTCCTCTCTTCTTCCTATCGCATGGGCCTCACGTTTCCCCTGCCTATCACATGGGCCTCTTGTTTCCCCTTCCTATCGCATAATCCTCACGTTTCCCCCACTCTCTTCTACCTCTCGCATCCGCATTACGTTTTTTCTCCATCCTCTTCTTCCTCTCGCATGGCCGTGACGTTTCCCTTCTCCGCTTCTTCATCTCACATGCGCCTCACGCTTCCCCTTTTCTCTTCAACCTCTCTCATGTGCACGCCGTTTCCCCTCCTCTCTCATCACGTTTTTCCTCTTGCATGCGCCTCACCTTTCAAACCCTCTCTTCTTCCTCTCGCATGCTCCCCTCTTCTCTCCTTCCACCCGCGTGCGTCTCTCGTTTCCCCTCCTCTCTTCACCCTCTCGCATCAGCCGGGCGTTTCCCATCCTCCCTGCTTCCTCTCGCATGCGCCTTACGTTTCAACTCCCCTCATCTTCCTCTCGCCCGAGACTCGCGTTTCTCCCCCTCTCTTCTTCCATTTGCACCCTACCTCTCGTTTCCCGTCAGAGTTTCTTCCTCCCGCGTGCGCCTCACGTTTCTCCCCCCACTCTTTCCCCCCCTCGCATGAGCCTCACCTTTCCCCTCATCTCTTCTTCCCCTCGCATGCGCCTCACTCTTCAATCTTTCGCTTCTTCCTCTCGCATGCGCCTCACGTTCCCCCCCCTCTCTCCTTCCTCTCGCATGGGCTTCACGTTTCCCCTCCTATCTTCTTCCATTCGCATGCGACTCGCGTTCCCCCCCCCCACCCCCCTCTCTTCTTCCTCTCGCATGCGCCTCTCGTGCTACCCCCTCTCTTCTTCCTCCCGCCCTGGCCGTCACGTTTCTCCCCATGTGCATCTCTCCCTGGGTCATGCGCCTCTCGTTTCCCCTCCTCTCTTCTTCCTCTCTCCTGCGCCTGACGTTTCCACTCCTCTGTACGTCCTCTCGCATCCGCCTCACGTTTTCCGCCCTCTCTTATTCATCTCGCATGCGACTCACGTTTCCCTCGCCCCCTTCTTCCTCTCGCATGCTCCTCCCGTCATCTCTCCGCCCCCCATCCTCTCACATGCGCGTCTCGTTTTCTCTACGTGTTTCATCATAGCGTCAGCGCATCTCCGCTGTCCTTCGCGTTTCGTGCTATCACATCAGGCTCACGTTTCCCCCTCCGGGCAGCTTGCTCTCGCATTTGCAAATACGTTCAGCACGTCCCCTTTCCTGCGCTCACATGCCCGTCACGTTTTCCGACCGCGTTTCTTGCTTTCCCTGCAGCGCATCACGTTTTACCTCCGCGTTTTTCGCTCTCACCCTTTCCTCACGTATTCCCTCCGCGACTCTTGCTCTGGCATGCACGAAGCCCTCCCTCCGCGTCTCTTGTTCTCACAAACGCATCACGTTTTCCCCATGCGACCCCAGCGCGCACATTCGCCTCACGTTTTCCCAAAGCGAAAAGTTCCCTCTCAAGGGCGCATACACGCCACGGTCGCCGCATCTCTTGTTCTCTAATGCGCCTTACACAGTATAGTCGGTTGAACGCCTCTAACATGCGTTCGGTACTGTCAGAGGACAAGCATCGCATCACACTGTATCTCCGCAATTGTTCGCGTCGTCATCCCGGGGCGCACACTTGCGCCCTGCATTGAGCCCTAAACTATGGCGCCGACAGCCTCATTCCCATATCTAACGACCTCTATTCTCTCAATTCTAAAAGTGGCGTGCCATCTTGAATGCTACGTCGCTCTTCGAGCTATGTTCTTTCCCTAAATGCTCACGTTGAGTGAGGGAGTCGTCGTCATGACTGTCTTCGTCGTCCTATGCGTGGAACCAGAGGGGAACAGGAGCATTGCGGTTTTACCCTTCTGTTTTGCCTGTCGAGTGACTTAGGCTGTGCCCAAAAGTGATGACAGTTTGGTGGCGTGTAGGTAATTCAGCAAAGGTGTTGTCTTTCGGGTTTGGGGCGGTTGCTTGGGGTCCCGTGTTGCGATTCAGTTTGCTTTCGCCCTTTTTTTTCGCTAACCATTGCCTTCGCTTTTGTTCCGAACCATTCCCCAAACCTCCTCCCGAACTTAGGTTTTACCGAGTTGACCAGCTTTGAGTAATTCGGGGTTTGGCCTCTTATTGGTACAAAGATCCAGCCATCCAGGTACAAAGGCAACAAGGCAACACATCTTTTTCAGATCCAAGCTCGGTGTGGGTACAATAGCAGTCAGAAGTTATCCGAGTTATAGTTCCCCGTTTAGATCCTTCAGTCCCAAGTCCCGAGACAGCCCCACACGATGGCGCGTCTGGCTTTCCTCGTCGCAACCCTGTCGGTGATGCTTGTGGTGGCTTCTGCTGATAAGCCAACCCTTCAGACTGGACCCAGCAACCCGGCAGTCAACCTCGACCAAGCCAAGGGCGCTAATGGCGTCGTGACGGATGTCCCTGCTAGCATCGAGAAGGCGGCGGCAGCGGGCAAGCTGGACCAACTCCAGGGCCAGACGGTCGTGAGCTCGGCCACGGACAGTATCCTGATGGTGGACGTGAAGCAGGCCGGATGGAACAAGATGAAGTGCAAGTGGAGCGCGGGCTTTGCCGATGCCGGCAAGGGCGCGTGCACGGTTCAGAACTGCTCCCTGGGCGGCATCCCCGCCAAGTGGAAGACGTCGAACCTGCTCAAGAACAAGCTCGGAGTGGAGGTGTACGTGAAGGGCAACCCGTGCACTGTGAAGAAGGCGTCCCCGCAGACTTGCTGCAACACGTGCGCGGGTTTCTCTGGGTGCACGTACTGGCAGTACATTCCCGATATCACCATCGACGGCAAGAAGTCCGATGGCGCGTGCTACCTGGTGCACGACAACATCGACTTCACCTGCGGTGAGCTGACCGCGCAGTACGCGACGGACTCGAAGCCCATCGCGCTGCAGGTGCGCACGGGCGGCGAGTGCAACCCCGCGGCGAAGATCCAGAACGACCCGCATCTGGTGGGCGCGTACGGCACGCACTTCGACTTCAACGGCCGCCCCGACAAGGCCTTCTGCCTGCTGGCCGACAAGGACCTGCACATCAACATGCTGCTGCGCGGGTACTACTCGGACGACACGGAGAACGCGGCGCTCGTTGTTGACGGCAAGGCCGTGCACACGTGGATCAAGGAGCTCGGAATTATCTGGTTCGCCAACGGCGCCGACCACAAGGTGCGTCTGGCGGCGCGCGGCGGCAAGCAGCAGGAGCGCGGCGACGGTTTCATGAAGACGATCGAGATCGACGGCGAGGAGATCCCGAGGATGAACGTCGGAGACGAGGTGACGACTGAGGGCGGTCTGACTCTGCGGTTCGCGGCTCTTGAGAAGGAGGGCCCGTATGACGTGGACTACTACACGCTTTCGATTGACGGTCTCGTGGCCCTCGACCTGCGCCTGCGCGTCGCCAACCCCAAGCTGCAAACCCCCAACGACGCCGAGGCGCACATCAACGTGGGGATTGTCGAGCTGGAGCACACCGACGACGTGCACGGCGTGCTCGGCCAGACGTACCGCCCCGACCACGCGGAGCGCGCGGCTAACTTCCAGAAGATGATTGCCACCCTGCACCGCCCGGTCTCGGCTGATAGCGAGGAGGGCGTTGGGTTCCTTGACGGCACTCCCCGCATGTACGAGTCGAGCTCCGTTCTGTCCGTGGACTGCGCGTTCACCGAGTACCACCGCGCCAAGCAACTGAGCCCCGTGCAGCACATCGACCTGGAGCCCCTTCCCTAAACGCGGTGCTCGCATTCGGTGGGCTGTTCCTGGTTGGCTGATTAGGTGGGCTGGGACTTGTGCAGAAACCTGTGCATCTGTATTGTAGGTGGGCTGTATTAGTGTGAGACTTTGTTATATTTATCAAAGATCTAGGTCGCAGGAACTCATGCTGAAAATATAAATGCATTTTTCACTTCTGCATATTTTCATTATTGTTTCTGTACCAGTTGGATGTAATGTTTTTCCTACAACACAATGTTGCCAAGGTGTTAAAACCTCTACTAATGTTTCATATAAACAGTACGTTGAATAGTATCAAATTACGTTCTATGGTATTTACTGCATCTGCATCTACTGTAGTGTCAAATCACTCTTTTTTCCAAGAGTCCGTGGACTCCGCATACACCGAGTACCACCGCGCCAAGCAACTGAGCCCCGTGCAGCACATCGACCTGGAGCCCCTTCCCTAGACGTGGTGCTCGCGATTTGGCGGGCTGGTTTTGTTGGGCTGATTTGGTGGGCTGCGCTGTGCGGAGGATAACTGTGCATTTGTATTGTAGGTAGGCTGGTTTAGCTTGTAGTTGTAAAATCACTACTCCACGCGTGGCTTATCATTATGTCGTACAGCGTCGCGTTCCTTGCGAGGTCTGGACATTACCTGACACAGACTTAGCGACTACTATACATCTGCACATCAATAAGTGATGCGGTTCCCACGGATACTTCAGTGTTCTTCGACATCTTTTTCTGGATGGAGGAAATCGCAGAAATTCAGCGAAAATACACATTATTGAGCGTGGATAGCTTCCTCTTACTTCTGCCTAGCTCTAAACTGCAAAGATTATCAGGCAACCACAAAGATGTTCTGACTAACTACAGAAATGTTCTAAATACTGTCCTGAAATATTAAAAGGAACATATGCTGACGAAGTATATGATAAACAATAATTCTATACGTGAGGTACTGCATGTTGTATTGACATTTAAATGGAATTTTAAATTCACCTAAGCATTTATGTGCTTATTGATTAGTATCAATCTCAAATGAAGTAGGGGCTGACCTGGAATGAAATGGTTAAATTTATCACATTCTAAATTATGAGTAGAACCTCGCTAAAAGTGAAGCACTTGAAGCGCTCTCATTTAATAATAAAAGAATTTTAACAGATCACTAACATTTTAAACCAGCCCACCTACAATACATAGGCGCAGGAATCCTGCGCCAGCTTCAGCCCACAGAAAAGAGCCCACAAAAACCAGCCCACCAGAAAGAGCCAACAAAAATCAGCCCACCAAAAAAAACCACAAAAATCAGCCCACCAAATTAGCGAGTGCTGCGTCTAGGGAAGGGGCTCCAAGTCGATGTGCTGCACGGGGCTCAGCTGCTTGGCGCGGTGGTACTCGGTGTACGCGCAGTCAACGGACAGCACGGAGCTCGACTCGTACATGCGGGGAGTGCCGTCGAGGAAACCAGCACCCTCCTCGCTCTCCACCGAGATCGGACGGTGCAGGTTCGCGATGAGCTTCTGGAAGTTGGCGGCGCGCTCCACGTGGTCGGGGCGGTACGTCTGGCCGAGCACGCCGTGCACGTCGTCGGTGTGCTCCAGCTCCACGATACCGACGTTGATGTGCGCCTCGGCGTCGTTGGGGGTCTGAAGCTTGGGGTTCGCGACGCGCAGACGCAGGTCGAGACCCACAAGGCCGTCGATTTGGAGGGTGTAGTAGTCCACGTCATACGGGCCCTCCTTCTCAAGAGCCGCGAACCGCAGAGTCAGACCGCCCTCAGTCGTCACCTCGTCGCCGACGTTCATCCTCGGCATCACCTTACCGTCGATCTCGATCGTCTTCATGAAGCCGTCGCCGCGCTCCTGCTGCTTGCCGCCGCGCGCCGCCAGCCGCACCTTGTGGTCGGCGCCGTTGGCGAACCAGATAATTCCAAGCTCCTTGATCCACGTGTGCACGGCCTTGCCGTCAACAACAAGCGCGGCGTTCTCCGTGTCGTCCGAGTAATACCCGCGCAGCAGCATGTTGATGTGCAGGTCCCTGTCGGCCAGCAGGCAGAAGGCCTTGTCGGGGCGGCCGTTGAAGTCGAAGTGCGTGCCGTACGCGCCCACCAGATGCGGGTCGTTCACGATCTTTGCCAAGGGGTTGCACTCGCCGCCCGTGCGCACCTGCAGCGCGATGGGCTTGGTGTCCGTCGCGTACTGCGCCGTCATCTCACCGCAGGTGAAGTCGATGTTGTCGTGCACCAGGTAGCACGCGCCGTCCGATTTCTTGCCGTCGATGGTGATGTCGGGGATGTACTGCCAGTACGTGCAGCCAGAGTAACCCGCGCACGTGTTGCAGCACGTCTGCGGGGACGCCTTCTTCACTGTCAGCGGGTTGCCCTTCACGTACACCTCCACGCCCAGCTTGTTCTTGAGCAGGTTCGACGTCTTCCACTTGGCGGGGATGCCTCCGAATGAGCAGTTCAAAGGAGTGCACGCGCCCTTACCTATCGAGTCCATACCCTTCATGCCGTTTTTGCACTTCATGGCGTTCCACGCGGAGTTTTTCACGGCCACCATCAGCATACTGTCCGTTTTTGTGCTCACAATTGTCGTGCCCTTCAAGGCTGTCAGGTTACCCGCAGCAGCAGCCTTTTCAACGTTAGCAGGGACATCCGTCACGACGCCATTAGCGCCCTTGGCTTGGTCGAGGTTGACTGTCGGGTTGCTGGGTCCAGTCTGAAGGGTTGGCTTAGCAGATGATGATGATGCTGGGGTGCTGGGTGTAGTGGGTGGCTTCTGAGCCTCTGCGACAGAGGCCACCACCAGAAGCACTGACAGGGATGCGACGAGTAAAGCAAGGCGCGCCATCGTGGAGAACGGGCTCAAAACTTCGCTCAAAGGAATTATACAAGGAGGAATTTCTTACAGCTGCTATCAATTCCTAGAGCATGACACGGGCCAGGAACGTACCCTGAGCTTGGATGTTATGAGAAAGTTGAGTTGCCTCGTCTGCTTTGTACTTGGATGGCTGGCCCGAGTGCCTGGAGAAGTAAGGGCAGGGGGCTGGGGAACGATGTGATAAAATGTGGCGGGAATAGATCGACCGAGTCGCGCAAATTTGTCCCAGAATTTCGTCAACATTCGGGTTCGATTGTTTTTTTGTAAGATCCGGAGTTCGGGGGGGTCGACGCAAAATGTTCCGGACACGTTTAGGCTATAATCAGAAGCGACTATTCGAGAAGCTGAAAGAAACTCTACTTCTAGCAGGTACCCTCAGCAACTCTTGCTCTGGCCGTTCAGTGTTTACCTAAATAAAAGTAGTTGTAAGGTTTCATACAAGAGCTACGATTTATGAAAGGTGAACGTTCCTTGCATCACCACACGCGGCCTGAGGCATCCAGATTTCAGAAAATGAGAAAATTAACCCAGCCTGAAACCTGAGCCAAGGATAGCTGTACCCTTCTTCTCGCGACTCGTTCAAAAGCTGGCTGTATGAACGAACCTGATAACTTATCAGAAGCAACATCAAGTGGAATCGACCTATCGCACCGCAGATGCACTCGTGTGGTTGTCGCAGGCGCTGTTTCAGGTGAATAGAACATCAGTATTGCTGGCTGTTTTCTTTGTGCTTTCTGTTTCCCCTTCCCGACCGAACTTGGTTTGTATGATTTTGCAGAGCGAAAGCAAGTCGGACTGCTCCCTCCATTCGGTCTCGGATGTGGACTGCGTGAAGATTTCTAGAAATGGGAAATCCTCTCCTTGTGATTTCAAAACTTTGTGCATTGTCCCTCAAGTGGGGTGCTCACCCACCATATCATGGCGATGTTGGGGTAGTTTATATACGTCTGAAGTTTGCCCCAATGCATACATCCCCTGCCTGAAGTGCTTCCCTCAAATCAGAAGCTAGATTCCTGTATTCACCTGACGTCTGTCTATGGCGGGCAGCATTAATCCACTGACACTCACTCTGTGCGTGCACCGAACCGCAATGTTAGTTGGTGGGCATCAAACAAATCTATTTGGAACATGGGGTGCAATTATATACAAGAATGTACACGGAGTGTACCTGAAGAAGTTAACCATATGCGTACGGAACTTGTAACCCTCATACGAAATCTTTCAACACCACTTTTTTAGACCATGGGCATGGGCAACTTCCTAAATTACTGGTAAAAAGTTCGAGTGAACATTATCTCTAAGGCTGTGTCACGACCGCGCAGGTCTTGCATTGCATCAAGAGACTACTACCTGAGCGCACAATGGTGTTTTTCCGACATCGTCCTAGCCCTCACAACTATGATAACCCCCTCTTAGCTACACACACTCTACCCACCAAGCACCTCCCAAGCACACTACCAGCCATCCCTCAGCTATTCCGTGCGATATTGAGTTCTAATCCAGCAAATTCCGGAGCGCTTTGTGAAGGGTGTTGATCGAGATGGGTTGGATGGTCATGCCAAGCCATACAGTGCCACATGCACATCCTCTTCTCCTCATCCAGCCCAAACTAAGTACCTCATCCCCCACTCCCCCTCCAATTCCCCCTTTTGTCCAACCTCCTCTCTTCTCCCCCCTTTGCCCCCCTCCCCTCCCCTCCCCACCCCTCGCCAAGCACCCCCCCTCATCCCTCAGCTATTCCGTGCGATAGTGAGTTAATCCGCAGGTTTTAGTCCAGCATTTTCCTGAGAGCGTTGTGATGGGTGTTGAGCGAGGTGGGTTTGATGAACATACCAACCATGCCGTGCCACATGCACATCATCTACTCCTCCTCACCCAGCCCAAACGACCTCATCCGCCACCCAACCTCCAATTCCCACACTTGTCCAACCTCCTCTCTTCTCCCCCCTCTGCCCCCCTCCCCTCCCCTCCCCTCCCCTCCCCTCCCCTCCCCTCCCCTCCCCTCCCCTCCCCTCCTCTTCCTCGTCCTCAGTTGTTCCGTGCGTTCTGGTCCAGCATCTTCCCGAGCACGTCGCGCAGCGCGTTGAGCGAGATGGGTTTGGTGATCATGCCGGCCATGCCGTGCCGCAAGCACTGGTCCTTGGTGGTCTCGTCCGCATTGGCTGTCAGCGCCACTATCATCGGTCGCAGCTCTGCTTTCAGCTCCGTGCGAATCTTGTTTGCTACTGTGTACCCATCCATCTGAGTGAGGGTTTGGGGGAGGGAATGGGACGTGGGCGGGAGACGGGTTGTTAGAGAGGTATACAGTCAGCGCCACAATCATCGGCCGCAGCTCCGCCTTCAGCTCCGTGCGAATCTTGTTGGCCACCGTGTAGCCGTCCATCTGGAGGAGGCGAGAGGGGTGGGGGGGGGGAGGGAAAGTGGGGGGGGGGTGGGAGGGGGGAGGAGAGGGAGAGGCGGGCTGTGAGTGAGGGCTGTCAGCGCCACTATCATCGGCCGCAGCTCTGCCTTCAGCTCTGTGCGAATCTTGTTTGGCACAGTGTAGCCGTCCATCTGAGTGAGGGTTGGGGGGAGGGAATGGGACGTGGACGGGAGACGGGTTGTTAGAGAGGCATACAGTCAGCACCACTATCATCGGCCGCAGCTTTGCCTTGAGCTCCGTGCGAATCTTGTTGGCTACCGTGTAGCTGTCCATCTGGAGGAGGTGTGGGAAAGGGGAAGGGAGATGCGGGAAACGGGGAGAGAAGAGGGGAAGGAGAGTGTGATCAAGAGGATCAGGATTTGGTGCTCAAGAGGTCGAGCAGGAGCACGTCATACTTCTCCTCGTCCTGCTCCTCCGCCAGGATGCCACCAGGCCAAGAGGACACCCCCTCTCCTCCTCCCCTCCTCCCCCTCCCCTTTAACAGACCCACCTCGGGCATCATGAGGTCGAGCAACGGCACATCGTACTTCTCCTCGTCCTGCTCCTCCTTGACTTGATTACCTCAACCCTTTACCACTCTCCCCTCAATACAGCACCAAGCCTGCCCCCTCATCAGCACCACCCCCAGCAGACCCACTTCGGGCATCATGAGGTCGAGCAACGGCAAATCGTACTTCTCCTCGTCCTGCTCCTCCGCCAGGATCTCTCTCTCTCTCTCTCTCTCTCTCTCTCTCTCTCTCTCTCTCTCTCTCTCTCTCTCTCTCTCTCTCTCTCTCTCTCTCTCTCTCTCTCTCTCTCTCTCTCTCACCACCACCAACCAACCCCCCTCCCCTCCGCCCCTCCCCTATAGCCCTATCTACCTCCGGCATCATGAGGTCCCACCCACCTCGGGCATCATGAGGTCGAGCAGGAGCACATCATACTTCTCCTCGTCCTGCTCCTCCGCCAGGATGCGCAGACACTCCTTGCCCGACTCCACCACGCGCGTTGAGATGCCGATGCGGTCCAAAAGGCGCTTCGTCACGAGCCGGTTCACCATGTTATCGTCTACCACCATGATCTAGGACAGCAAGCAGGGGAAGGGGTTGCGGGAACGGGTGGGGTTCTTGTGAGGGGATGCACAGGCACTCTTTGCCCGACTCCACCACGCGCGTTGAGATGCCGATGCGATCAAGAAGACGCTTCGTCACCAGGCGATTGACCATGTTGTCATCTACAACCATGATCTGAAAGGAAGGTTATGGGCGGGTAGGATGGGTGGGGATGGGGATGAGGGGATGCGCAGACAGGCACTCTTTGCCCGACTCCACCACTCGCGTTGAGATGCCGATGCGGTCCAGAAGACGCTTCGTGACGAGGCGATTCACCATGTTGTCATCCACCACCATGATCTGAAAGGGTGGGAATGGGTGGGGATGGGTGGGGATGGGTGAGGTTGGGTGGGGATGGGTGAGGATGAGAGGATGCGCAGACATTCACCTAACAAAGTAAGTCACCCGCAGAGCAAAGAAGTTGACGTCAGGCCCTCATCCTGGTACTCGTCGCTGCGGTCGCTGCACTCATCCCACCCTGCCCCCTCTCCCCTCCACTTTCTTTTCGAACTTAAGCAAAGGCGCAGTTCCCCCCAAAACTCTCACCCGCAGAGCAAAGAAGTTGACATCGGGCCCCTCGTCCTGGTCCTCATCGCTGCGGTCGCAGCCTTTCCCCTCCAACACCCATTGCCCTTGTATGCTAAGACCAAATCCCCCCCCCGAAAGTCTCACCCGGAGGGCAAAGGAGTTGACGTCAGGCCCCTCGTCCTGGTCCTCATCGCTGCGGTCGCTGCCCTCGCTGTCGAGCTTGAGCATCGCCAGGAACTTGGACGTCGCACCCTTGCCCCGCCCCCTCTCGCCCTGGTCCTCCTCCCACCAGTCACTCCCCTCCCCTCCAACCCCACTGTTCCCCTCCCCTCCAACCACGATAAAAGTCTCACCCGGAGAGCGAAGAAGTTGACATCAGGCACCTCGTCCTGGTCCTCGTCGCTGCGGTCGCTGCCCTCCCACCCTACTCTTGTTCCCCTCCACTCCCCTCTTGTATAAAAAAAGTCAAAGCCCGCTCCCCCAATGTCTCACCCGGAGGGCAAACAAGTTGACGTCAGGCCCCTCGTCCTGGTCCTCGTCGCTGCGGTCGCTGCCCTCTACCTCCCCTCCTTCCCTCCTCTCCCTTCCCTTGAACTAAAATAGACACACTTCAGCAATCACTCACCCGCAGAGCGAAGAAGTTGACATCAGGCCCCTCGTCCTGGTCCTCATCAATCGCTGCCTTTCCCCTCCAACCCCCCCTGCCCTTGTATGTTAAGGAACCCCACCCCCCCCACCAACACCCCCACCAAAGAGTTCTCACCCGCAGGGCAAAAAGTTGACGTCAGGCCCCTCGTCCTGGTCCTCGTCGCTGCGGTCGCTGCCCTCTACGGTCCATCCCCTTCCCCCACTCTACCCACCCAATCCCCTAGGCTAGACAGTCTCACCCGGAGAGCAAAGAAGTTGACATCAGGCCCCTCGTCCTGGTCCTCGTCGCTGCGGTCGCTGCCCTCGCTGTCGAGCTTGAGCATCGCCAGGAACTTGCACGTCGCTCCCTTGCCCCGCCCGTTGCTCTCCATCCATATGTGCCCGTTCATCAGCTGGCGTGCAGGGAGGGCAGCAGGCAGGCGGGCGGGCAGGCAGGTAGAGAGGGAAAGGGGAAGAAAGGCAAAGGGAAGAGGGATGGGGGGAGGGAGGGAGGGCAGAAGAGAAGGGAGGGGGCGGATGGGGCATGAGTAGAGGTCATCCATACGTGCCCGTCAAGCAGCTGCCCTGCATGCAGGCAGGCAGGTTAAAGTGCTACTTGTGCTTCCTCTCATGCCCTTCCTCCCACGCCCACCATTCTCCCCACCATTCACCACCCCAGCCCTCACCTCACCTCCCACCACCCACCATTCCTCGACAGCGCCAGTCCCAGCCCAATGCGGCTGCCCTTGGTTGGAACTTGTCAAACAGCTTCACAAACAACCCAAACATACCCTTCCGTGCCCACCACCCACTCCAAGGGCTCTATTTCTCTCAGACACATTCAAGGGAGACCCTCACCTGCACGAACTTGCGGGAAAGGGCAAGACCCAATCCAGTGCGGCTGCCCTTGGTCTCATCTTCCTGGAACTTGTCAAACAGCTTCGGGATGTCAGCTGCATTGAGGTCCTGGTCCACGCCCGAGTCCTTGACTTCGAAGCGGATGAAGGTGTGCCCCGCCTTCGCCTTGAGCACAAAGCCCATGCTGCCCTGCATGCCCCCTCCTTACACCCCGCCCCAGCAGCTCAACCCCAGCCCCAGCACCTCACCTGCACAAACTTCCGGGAAAGGGCAAGACCGAGCCCAGTCCTGCTGCCTTTTGTCTCATCTTCCTGAAACTTGTCGAAGAGCTTGGGAATATCAGCTGCATTGAGGTCCACGCCCGAGTCCTTGACTTCAAAGCGGATGAAGGTGTGGCCCGCCTCTGCCTTGAGCACAAAGCCGTCGCGCGCCCACTCCATGCGCTCGGGGGCGACGGTCACGGTTATGGTGCCCGTGTTTGTATACTTGATGGCGTTGTTTATCACGTTCAGCAGCACCTGGGGGGGAGAAGGAGGGGGTGAGAAGGGGGAGAGGGGGGAGAGGAGGAAGCGGGGACGAGGAGGCACAGTATGGTAGAGAGATGGATCAGGGGGTGTGTTGCACTGCCTTGAGGTGCACAGCACAAGAGGAAGCGGATGAAGGTGTGCCCTGCCTCCGCCTTGAGCACGAAGCCGTCGCGCGCCCACTCCATGCGCTCGGGGGCGACTGTGACTGTGATGGTGCCCGCGTTGGTGTACTTTATGGCGTTGTTTATCACGTTCAGTAGGACCTGGTGGGGCGAGGGGAAGGGGAGAGGGGGTGTTGTGGAGCAAGGAGCACACAGCACACAGCACGCAGCACGCAGCACACAGCACGCAGCACGCAGCACACAGCACGCAGCACGCAGCACACAGCACGCAGCACGCAGCACACAGCACGCAGCACGCAGCACACAGCACGCAGCACACAGCACGCAGCACACAGCACAAGGGGAAGCGGATGAAGGTGTGCCCCGCCTCTGCCTTGAGCACAAAGCCAACTTCTACTGCTCATTCACTCCCACGCCAACGCACCTGCAGCAGCCTGTTGCCATCCCCGATCACACTCTCCGGCAGGTTGGGGTCCGCCTTGAACGTCAACATAATCCCCTTGTCCTTGGCAATGGGCGAGGATAAAGTCTCCGCTTCAGTCACGAGTGCGGGCAGCTCAAACTGCTCGGGGCCCAGCACGAGCTTCATGTTGTCCTCCTCCAGGCGCCAGAACTCCAGGATGTCGTACAGCAGCGAGGCGAGGAGGGTGGAGGAGAAGGCGACCGTTTCAGCCATGCTGCGCTGCTCGTCGTTCAGGTCTGACTCAGCAAGGAGGGATGAGAGCGCCGTGATGGAGTGCATTGGCGTGCGCATCTTGGCGTTCATCACCTGGTGGGGGGGGAGGGGGACGGAGGAGAGAGGAGGGAGGGAGGAGCGAGGGAGAGCAAGGGGGAGTGTCAAATTGTTGTCTTTGACGCACCACAGCTCGAGGAGCGAGGAGAGCGCCTTGATAGAGTGCATTGGCATTCGCATCTTGGCATTCATCACCTGGGATGAGGGGGGAGGGAAGGGAGGACGCAGGAGGGGGGCGGGAGGAAGGAGAAGGGATGAGGGAGGGAGATGGAGAGGGAGCTTCATGTGTGTTGGCGTGCGCGTCTAGGCGTTCGTTCGTCACCTGAGGGGGGAACGGACAGACACCACAACAATGCATGACTAAGAAAGAAAGCACCCATGTTTAGAAGAACACCCACAACGTCTTGGCACTACATTACTAACATGCCATACAGCACCTGAATCAGATGGGCTCAGATGGCACCTGCCTCAGATGGCACCTGCCTCAGATGGGCTCAGATGGCACCTGCCTCAGATGGGCTCAGATGGCACCTGCCTCAGATGGCACCTATCCAACACGGCACCGACCTGCAGGAAGTTGTCTCGGGCCTTGACGGCGGACTTGCCCTCCAGGTTGGCCTGCTTGAGCTGCTCGCCCTCCTCCAGCAGCACCTCGTGCGCCTGCCTGCTCGCCTCCAACACCCCTGCATGGCGGAGCGCTACTGCTAGCTGCAAGGAGGGAGAGGGCGGGATAAGGAACGGAGGGTGGGGGATGGAATTACTGCTTGAGCTGTGCCTCTGGCACCACCTGCCAACTGTGCCGGGGAGGAGAAAAGGAGAGAGGGACACTATCAGACCGTCTCCCCCCCCAGAATCTCAGAGTTTCTCCTCACCACCCCCTCCCCTTCCCTCCCTCCCCTCCCGCTCACCTGTTCAGCCACTGTATCAACCTTCTCTAGAACCTCTTGCCGAACAGTAGCAATCAAAGCGGCTCAAGTGAAATCACTTCACTGTTTCAGTCGACTCAGGACCCCCCCCAAGCATCCCTCCCCTCCTGCTCACCTGCTCAGCCACCGTATCAACCTTCTCCAGCACCTCCTGGCGAAAAATAGTCACCCTTTCAAGTAAACTCACCTCCTTTTCCCCCCTTCCCCCCTCTCTCTGACCTGTTCTGCCACCATATCAACCTTATCCAGCACCTCCTGCCAACTATTATTCACTATCCTAGTCAACTTACCCTCCCCTCCCCCTCACCTGTTCTGCCACCGTATCAACCTTATCCAGCACCTCCTGCCAACTATTATTCACTATCCTAGTCAACTTAGGGCGCGTAACTTTTTCACTTTTCATCGTCCGGACGGAGGACCCGTCCGGACTTTTGTAGGGTTACAGTCTCGCCTGAGTTCGTCATTACCTTCGCAAGACCCCCGCGACGTCGCGATCGTCCGTACGAATTCTGACACTTTTCTGCTTGTGTATCGTCCGTTCTACACTCCTGACGTCGTCCGGACAGCATTTCGGACCGTCCGGAACTCCTGCAACGTCATTGGTGCGCGAGGCAAAATTTTCATCAGTTTTGGCGACTCGGTTTCCCGCTCGCCAGAACCACACTGCGAGGGAAAGGCAGCACTGAAGTTCCACAATCGTCTGAACGGGCACAGACTCACAGCACTACAAAAAGGGGAACGCACCACAGTCTGGCTGCTTGCGAATCGGACGATGTGCTGACGAGGTAGGTTATGCGCGTTACTGTTCCGCTCAAACCCCAATTTTCGCAACTGCAGAAAAGTGTCATAATAGGGGTACGGACTCTTCACCGTCCGAACCACATCCCCCACCGTCCGGACGGAGCTCCGTTCGTACGTTTTGGGGCCATCGTCCGGACATTTGACTGAAACAGAAAAAGTTACGCACCCTTACCCTCCCCTCCCCTCACCTGTTCTGCCACCGTATCAACCTTACACCTCCTGCCAACTATTATTCACTATCCTAGTCAACTTACCCTCCCCTCCCCCTCACCTGTTCTGCCACCGTATCAACCTTATCCAGCACCCCCTGCCAACTATTATTCACTATCCTAGTCAACTTACCCTCCCCTCCCCCTCACCTGCTCCGCCACCGTATCAACCTTCTCCAGCACCTCCTGCCAACTATTATTCACTATCCTAGTCAACTTACCCTCCCATCCCCCTCACCTGCTCCGCCACCGTATCAACCTTCTCCAGCACCTCCTGGCGGAACTTCTTCACCCCGCCCTCGCCCCCTCCGCCTCCCCCTCCCCCTCCGCCCGCCCCTCCGCCCCCGCCTGCGCCCCCCTTGCCCTTCTCCGCCACCTCCCCCGGCAGCAGCAGCACGAGCACGCCATACTCCACAGCGGAGGGGTCCTGAGGGCTCCTTGCTCCTGGCGTGGCTGGGTCTGCCAGTGTCACTGGCACCGCTGCAGCGCCTGTGAGAGGGGAGGTGAGGGGAGGGGAGGGGAGCGGATGGGAGGGGATGGGAGGGGATGGGAGGGGAGGGCGGAAGTCTCCCCCGGGCAGCAGCAGCAGCAGCAGCAGCACGCCATACTCCTGAGCAGACGGGTCCTGGGGGCTCCTTGCCCCTGGGGTTGCGGGGTCTGCGAGAGTCACTGGGACGGCAGCAGCGCCTGTGAGAGCGGATGAGAGGGGAGGGGCGGGTTAGTTAGTCTCCCCCGGCAGCACGAGCACGCCATACTCCACAGCGGAGGGGTCCTGCGGGCTCCTCGCCCCTGGGGTTGCTGGGTCTGCGAGAGTCACTGGCACCGCAGCAGCACCTGGGGGAGGATGGGGTGGTCGGGACAGGGAAGCGGGAGAACAGATGGGGAAAGAAGGAGAGGATGGGGAGGGTTGAGGGCAGAAATGCATTTCAGGTATGGGCAGCAGCAGCAGCAGCAGCAGAATGCCACACTGCAGTTCCCAATTTCCTGGCTCCCCTCACTCCTACCCTCCTTAATCCTCTCACTCCTGACCCCCCTCACGCTTGACACTTCTCACTCCAAGGGGAGTAGCAGCCTGCAGGTGGCTCAGGAGCTACCCACCCCTCATCGCACAGCAAGCAGCGGGCCTCCTTACCTCCCTCGATGGTTCGGCCCGAGCCTAGCGGGGGTGGCAGCGCGGAGCACTCCACGAGCTGGCAGGATGATGGGATGATCATGGCTGCCCGGTTGGCTATCACCTGAGCAGGAGTGGGAAATGAGGGAAGGGAGGTGAGGGGAGAACGGGGAGGGGAGAAAGGGGACAGGGGAAAGAAAGGGGCGGGAGAAGTCTTGAGTCGACTCCACGAGCTGGCAGGATGATGGGATGACCATGGCTGCTCGGTTGGCTATCACCCGACGAGGGGCGAGGGGGCGAAGGGGGGGGGCGAAGGGGGAGGGGCGAAGGGGGAAGGGGCGAAAGGGGGAAGGGGCGAAGGGGGAGGGGCGAAGGGGGAGGGGCGAAGGGGGGGAGGGGCGAAGGGGGAGGGCGAAGGGGGAGGGGCGAAGGGGGAGGGGCGAAGGGGGAGGGGCGAAGGGGGAGGGGCGAAGGGG